ACGGTCATGTATTCAGAGTAGTAAACGAGAAAAACCAGATTCAGTGTAGCACGCTTGTGAGCCCACGCTCATGACAAGAATACTCGAGCATTTGTTATCACTTTATTCTTTGGGCCCGTTTGTTTGACGCAATAGAACCAGGTGAATTTGCCTTTGCTCTTTTTATCTTTAATTTCACCGTTCGGTGTGCGCTGGAGCTAAATTACTGGCCGACGCAACTCAGCGTCATAGACCTATTCTCCGTCCGCTGAGAAATCCACCTAATCTCCATGATTTTCTCTACAAATTAGTACCCAATAAAGACATATGTTTTACTCTGGAAGAGGGCTTACGACCCCAAATTTAGAGGTAGTAGACATGTTGGCAGTGCTAATTATCGCCTGATTACTCGTCTCCCTTTGCTGTCGAAGGTGATGTAAGCGGTCATTGCCGAGACCATAGTGGTCTACTTGGAGAAAGGTAACATCATGGCATTGGTGCAGCACGGATTCCGTCAACGTCGGTCATGCACCACTAACCTACTGATAGTAGGAGGTAGTTGGACGGAAGCGGCAAATGGAGGGATCTGGATCGATGTCAATTGTATAAACTTTTTGCAGGTTTTAATCACCTGGATATCGGCTCCTGCTTCACATGCTGTAGAGATATGGGATCGAAAACTTCGTCCATGGGTGAATTAGGAACTTGACTGAGTCACGGGGTATGCTGCTCTTTAACAATCTAACATTTGCTATTTAATAGAATAATGCAAGGGGGCAGGTTCTGAGTAAAGAATTGTTTTCGGTAACCCCCATCAGACTCAAAAAATACACGATGACGACAATATGTTAAACGTGCCGGACTAGACTGCATATTCAACAGGGTTTGAAATTTATTGATATTCATTTGAATATTGAGAACAGGAAGGAGATCCGTTGTCAACTCCATGGGTTCCGAATCATCACAAGATGGGTGCTTGCTGTCGGGAAACGTTACGCCTTGGAGATCCTCACCTATAAAGTAAGATCAGCAGGATACCGCCATGTGCGTTTGATGGGTGTGTTGCAATCGCTTGAAACTTTCCTGTCTCCGAGTCAGTGATTTGTTTTAGCATACTGTTCCAATCATTTACCACTCTGGAAGATAAGGCAACTTGTCGACAATAGCGAAGTGTCCTCGGCTTAAAGAAATTCCAATTGTGACCACTTGTCGAGCTGCCCAGACTGATATGGAGGAACTGCTGCAGCTCACTTCTAAGGTCTCCCCTTAGGATGCGTTTGGTATAGAAAAGAGGAGAACAGGTTCAAATTCTTAAGTTGAAAAGTGTAGAGGAGGTCTTGATGCTCCGATATAGAGTTTGAATCGCGCTAATGTAATTATTCTATCAGTTCACGTTCATATTTAGTTAGGGTGTAAGCGGCCGGGAGACAATATTCTAAGGGCAGACGGGCATGCCAAGTGAACAGGTTTCTAAACATCTGCGGCGTAATTTTGCAGAACGACCTCAAAGCCCAGAGCAATCGGTTGGCTGCCGTGGCCTTCTACGTGTCAATTTAGTTTTCAAATCGTGCAAGACGATGACACCAAGATCCTTCTCATGTATGACAGACTTGAAAAAATATCCGCCGATATAATACGCACCGAAAGGATCCAGGCCAACAATCGGAAGAACGGTACATTTATCAATGTTTACCCGGCGTCGCCACTCAAAGGACCAGTTATGCAGCTGGGCAAGCAAATCTTAAATTCTGTCGGCATCATCGAGGCAGCCTATTTGAGACCAGAGATAAACGTCATCAGCAAAGACTGGACAGTCGGATTGAAGTGTCTCTGGAAGATCGTTGAAGTACCGTTTAAAGAGTCCTGGTTCAAGAACAAAACCTTGGGGAACCCCAAGGAAACAAACCAATAAGTCACGGGGTCATGGAAGGTGACAACTTATGTACTGGGGAAATCACAGCAGAAGTTGTAGGACACAGTTTAATTAAACGACGTACAAACTGTTTTGTACGCACAATTCCAGCTTCCGGTGGCGGATATAGATAGCTCCCGCAATAGATAAGAAATACTTCAGGAATCCGCGCGAGAAACGTTCAGGGATAGTATAAATGACTCTGAAATCGTTTTCTGTCCCTGCGTGACCGCACTCTAGAAGGTGCGACAGGATGGAGCTGTTACTAGACCTCGCTTCGCCTTTGCAAAACCACTTCGTGATGTGTTTGCACATCCTATGAGATAGGCACCTCGTAGTAAGACCCATGTATCGTGCACCACAGGAGCAGGAGTACAGATAAACGAACATTGATCGAATCACCGGAGGAAGTCTTTCCTTCGAAGGTTCTGCGAATAAAGGCTTCTTGTAGTATATCATGCTTTGGCGAGCCGCGAAATACGTCTTTTCAACGGCGCCTTTCAGGCGTTCGGACAGTGCATCAGCCGCACTGTCGCCTTTGAAAAGAAAATGACCAATTATTTCTTTCTTGTGTACATTCACCATTGATGGTTTTATCTTGCGTTCTTTCAAATGGTTGAGGATGAATTTATCTGGATACCCATTCGCTCTTAGAGTCTCACTGATACTCTGCAATTCGTTGGTGATGATGCCGGTGTGTAAATGCTGTGTGCCAGGAAAGCAAGCGTGTGCAACTGTTGGAATCATTTAATGAGACGCATCAGAATCTATAATTAACCTGTAAGCACTAGTCTGGAAACCGACTACCGTTCCTGGAGGTAGATAGCATCAGAAACTACGATGGATCGTGCAGCTGACAAGTGTATAGAAAACCAACGTGGACTGCACAGTACACCGATTTCTATACTGTAGTACCACTACAGTACAAGGGAAACCTAGTCCGCACTTTTGTCTTTCTGGCACACAAAATTGTCCACCGGAAACAATTATCAACGAATTGCAGAGTATCAGTGAGACTCTAAGAGCGAATTGGTATCCAGATAAATTCATCCTCAACCATTTGAAAGAACGCAAGATAAAACCATCAATGGTGAATGTACACAAGAAAGAAATAATTGGTCATTTTCTTTTCAAAGGCGACAGTGCGGCTGATGCACTGTCCGAACGCCTGAAAGGCGCCGTTGAAAAGACGTATTTCGCGGCTCGCCAAAGCATGATATACTACAAGAAGCCTTTATTCGCAGAACCTTCGAAGGAAACGCTGCCTTCAGTGATTCGAGCAATGTTTGTTTATCTGTACTCCTGCTCCTGTGGTGCACGATACGTGGGTCTTACTACGAGGTGCCTATCTCATAGGATTTGCGAACACATCACGAAGTGGCTTTGCAAAGGCGAAGCGAGGTCTAGTAACAGTTCCATCCTGTCGCACATTCTAGAGTGCGGTCACGCAGGGACAGAAAATGATTTCAGAGTCATTTATACTATCCCTGAACGTTTCACGCGCGGATTCCTGAAGTATTTCTTATCTATTGCGGGAGCTATCTATATCCGCCACCGGAAGCTGGAATTGTGCGTACAAAACAGTTTGTACGTCGTTTAATTAAACTGTGTCCTACAACTTCTGCTGTGATTTCCCCAGTACATAAGTTGTCACCTTCCATGACCCCGTGATTTATTGTATTGTTTCTGTTGAAATTAAACATTCTGATCAATACGCAGCTCAAGCCGGCACATTTTACACCTTGTCGTCATCATGTTTTGTGTTGCTCTGATGGAAATTATCGAAAGGAATTATTTACTCAATATCTGCCTCCCTTGATTCATTCTACTTAATTAGGAACTTTCTTTGGCAGCTGGGAGTACATGTATTAATTTGAGAAATAAGATTAATCTCAACTGTGGCGAAATGTCGTGTTCTACAGGGATTACTGCTTCGCCCGCTTTCATCCCTGCTTTTCATAAACGGTCTTTCAAGCGCTTTTGCCGAAAATTTTCTGCTTTTCCCTGATGATGTCAGAATATGGCGAGCGAATACTCTGAATGAAGTTGCCCATTTCATCGAACCTGTCCTGTATTGCGTTTATGAGTTGTCAACGAGGAAAATATCCCAGTTTGCTGTGGCTAAGTGATATATGGTTTGTAGTCGTTATCAGTATGGGAAGATATGTAAGCTAGGAAAATGCGTGTCACAGGAAGCACTAAGTAGCCTGATCCAGGGATACTGGTAAAGAAAAGTACGTCGGTTCCTGCAAACAATCCGGAGAAGCTTCGAAAATCGGGAACCAGTATGTCAGTATTTTGCACAGAGCGTTTGATCGGTTTGACGCCTCGGTATTTCCATAAGTACTCAGCGCCTATTTACGGCCCCCAGTGGAATATGCTATCCAGATACAACATCATTTAACTAAACTCGATCTGGCTGCTGTTGCGACTCCGCAAACATTGTTAACGAGGGGTGTTATGGGCCTGTCCATCTACTCTATAGACTTATATTAAAGCCTATCTGAATGTATAGGGATAGTTATCGACGCCTTCGGGATGGAGGACCCAATACAGCTAAGTAACTCCTGAAGAACCTCAACCCCGTTTGCTGCCCCATGCTAAAAATTCCCCATAACACCAACGCAGTATATCTAACTAGAATGCCACCGTAAATCTTCCTCCCACCACCTGCACAAGTCGTGGACATTCTACCTGTGATGGTGGCTGAAATCTGGGGCAGAGGGAATCCCCTGCCTCAGTATGGTCGATCAGGCGATCGATCGAATGAGCGGGTGAGTTTCAAAATCACCGCTAGTTGCACATTACCACAGAATTATGGATAGAACGCTTCTGTGCGGAGCAGGAGCCAGTTCTTTCTCTTGACAAGGCTGAGACAACCAGGCACGCAAGGTAGTGATAGAGGAAAAGAAGCACCCGATGAGCAGTCAGCAGTTTTGCTTTGGCTGGTAGTCGTTTGTAGCAATGTAGACTCCAGTACAGATAACGAGAGTTCACTGTCCGAAAAGTGGCGCCGGTGGAGAGCGAAGTGGATGAACGTGCCACACTGATCGAGTTGGATTAAATCTCATACCGTATCAGTTAACCATGTTCAGGTACACTATCGGTCATGAGGCGATGCGGATACCAAACACCTGCAATCTTTTGTGATCAAGATCGAGAACCGGATCTTTCAGACCCGCTGGAGAGATTTGGTGATTATTGTGAAGGCCCGTTAAACCAGTTCACCCCTTGCTGTCGATCGACCAAGGTTAGGTCACTTGAGAGTGTAACTCAGCGAGGAGCGTAAGAACTTTCAGTAAATAACGTGTGGGATCATGATAAAGTGGGGTGTGCTAATGCAAAACTGGCGATCCAAAGACAATTACTTCAATCGAAAGTTGATACTGGAGTCATCGTACGTTTGCAACATGAAATTTTCCACGAATATTCTTCAAGACCGTCTTCGAAAGCATTCACGGCGGCTAAAATAGAGTCACAAACACGAACCCTACTCTAGCGTCTGGAGCTGAAAGATGGTTTAAACAGATACCAAGAATTTAATGGCATCTGAAGAGAAGAGCAGGTGAGGGTCGGAAAAGAAAGGGAAACTATCGAGTACGGCTGAAAAGGCAATGTAGTGAATAGGCATTCCACTCGGACGAGAAGCCGCAACAGCAGAATAAGTCAACTAGGATCACAGCCCAGGTATGAAATATCTGCCGCAGTGGAACGCGATACGGGACCTTCAATACCAAAACAACGAAGAAAGAAAAAGGAAAGAAGGTGATAAGGGATGAAAGCTGAGGCGAAGGGACTCGCCTGCCTCAGTGCGGTCGATCAACCGGTCAATCGAGTGGGAGGGTGAGTTTTCAAACCACAGCTAGTAGTACATTACCACAGACTTGTGAATAGAACGCTAGCGTGCAGAACCGTTATTAGTTCTTTCTCTTGAATCGACCGGGACTACCAGACACGCAACGCTACCCACATCTGTTATTTGCGTCCGTAACTTACCGACTTTTTAATGGTGTTGACAATACATTGAACCATGTACATTTTTTGTAGGTTTTGTGTGCATCATGTGGCTGTATACCGAAAGCAAAGGTATATCCTCATATTCTAACTTGGTGGACTTATTCTTATCATGAAATTCTCTAGGTGAGTACGCGCACAAACCTGCATACACGTATTTCATTTATCTTACTGTTTTTATCCCAGTTATTTTAGGGTATCCGTTAAGCCTTGACCTCCCACTTGCCATATACATCCATCATCAAAATCATCCGTGGATAGATCAAAAAGTATTTGGTTATTCCGAATGTTTGTCTTCAGCTTTCGAATTATCATAAGTCTACTGTCCTCAAACTCGTAGCTGACTTGGACGGTTGAACGGCCTTGTCTACCAACTGAGCGGTGCTTCTCCGGTTGGCTTCGCATCCTCGCTTATGGGGCCGTGTATCGCTTGTCGGTAAATACACAAATTTATTTATTTAAGGAGAAATACATTTATGTTATCATCATTACGTACGTCTCAAATGCAATCGCGGAGCTTAGGAAACCTGCGCCTGAAAGCGAGGCCGCAACCCTTCACCTAGATGATAGGTGATGGCCTTCAGCCTTCGACAGTGGGCGCTACAGGAGTATCATTTCTTTTCAGATAGTAACACCGAGTTTGCAATGATGGCAAAAAGCGGCGTCCCGCGTAGTATGAGCCCTTCACCCGACAAGCTCTCTTATTGTGTAAATTAAGTTGGTTGGTTTACGTGGCACACTGGTCCCACTAGCAATCACCGCAACGCTTTCTATTCCTTGATGCACCATGTGGTGGCCGCCCTTTTATTTGACGCTGAAGTCCTCGAAACACGGTAGATTCCATGCATTTTCTGATTGGCTTGAAAGGTGTCAAGTAGATTTTTGAGACCGGATAACGCAGTATAGGAAGTAACAGAAGTCGGAACAGCGTTCCACAGTTGGCGTGCAGGAAGGGTGAGGGCATCCTGACAGCATTTTAACCGGTTCTACTGAGTTGTTAGTTTTAACACTTGGGTCCTGGTGGAGCGTCGTTATAATCTTATTTAGTAACATCATACTTGCTTGGGCTGTTGAGAATTTGGACACTAATGTGTGACTAACTCACGAACGATAACATTGTCCGCTGAAAACTCTTGGGGTTCTTATTTCGACCCATTGACAGCCAAATATTTTTCGAAAATTTTTAGTGATTTTATATTCACTTATATCAAAATAGTAAGAAAAACCTATTTTCAAGTACTGCGGCAATATTTTTTGAGAAATTTCCTATTTTGGTCCTATCCCTAAAGCATTCCACCGGAAGTCCAGCATCTCATTTGCTGCAGGCTTTCCCGCATTTTTCTTACACACTGCGTATTTCCACTGTTCGCCGATTTCGGTGTGTTTGATATAGTGTTTTCCGGATGTGCTGATGTTAGTAGGAACTCGGTTAGTGTGTGGTTTAGCCACGGATTTCCTCCCATCCATTCTTGATGGGATATTAGCGAAGACATATCAACGTATGTTCTGGTAATCATCATTCTTTAATCCAGCAGGGGAATTTTACCGTTTTCGAGACAAATGATTGCCTGGAACTTCCAAAGTATCACGTCAATGGGTTGGGGAGCAAAGGGAAGTAGGACTTTTCTCCCTTATTTTATTCTGTATTTTTAGGTTCCAATCAATTCTGCCAACTCCTCCCACATGCTTGTCCTCGTCCGAGATCAGTTAGGGTTGGGCAATTTGAACATCTTTGTTTTCAGTCCTACTCCATGGCTCCTAATGTGAGAGAAGCTCGATGGTTTCATGATTGGATAGAAGCCTCACACAGCCATTGACAGAGCTTCAAGGTCATCCTCACACACGCGTGACGTGCGTGCTACTTGTTCATTTGGATTATTTCCCTCTATCCTCTCTCCATCTTCTCGCAGCGTTGTCACTGTACGCTCATTCGAACCGGATTTACCAGCTCTACACAGTGATCCATCATACGTGGAAATATCTTCTACGATTAGAGGCTGTGCCATCACTAACCGTTTTCACTGGCATCTATGCTTAAGCGCAAGCGTTTAACTCAATCGTATTGAGCCGATTGCCTTTCTGTGTGACACCATTCGATACAGTTTTCTCGAGGCAGACCAAAAAGCCTAAGCTTATTCCGATCCAGTGTTTCTCAACACAGCTGTGAAAGAATCTGTGTTCAGCGCTCTGTTCAGGTTGCAGTCACTCGCCATTCCTTGTGACCTTGTCAGCCAGTGCGGCTGCATTACCCATCACACGGACCGCGCGACCACGCCGACCGCTCATTTGACCTTGCAACCACCACGCTCGCCTGACCGATGTCCGCCCCTCTCAAAGCTGTAAAAGTACAGAGCGCTAACCAACCCACTGGGTCAGGTAAAGACACCGAATTGAATGGCAAAAAGGCGAAACCGAAGAGACTCCCATCAAAAGGAATTTGCGGGTTAGGAGAATGTCATCGGGTAGTACAAATCGGTCTGGCTTGTTCGCACTGTTTGGTTTGGCACCACACGAAATGTGCAAATGTGTCCCAACAACAGTTACGGGAGCGAAATAGCTCCCAAGATGCATTTTAGTTCTGTACTGCGTGTTCCACCATCCCACTCGTTAAGTGCTTGCTTATCCTAGCTGAGAAATGCGACCGGTTAATCGCAGAAGCAGAGCAGAGGATAAACAAAAAGATTACTTCAATGGAAGTGAGTATGGACCACAGAAGCGTAGCGGCTTCTAAGCAACGGAATGCTGAACAAACCGCTTCCCCTGCACCGCAATCAGCCACGTCTCCATCTCCGTTGTCTTCTCCAACTTTGGTAGAAAGCCGTGCGAAAACAGACTGTACCTACGTGAATCAAGCAGTACTCACAGCAACGAAAATCACACACCATTCAAAACGCCTGGTTAAGCAAATTCCACTAGACTTGACATCTAGTATTAACAAGGATGAAGCAGCCAAACACGAACCCTTGGTACCTGTAGCTCAAATATCTCTTGTCGAGACTAAGCCTCCCAGAACATCGGTTACATATGCAGAGATTGCTGCAAGGATCCACCGAGAGGCCGCCGTTGCGTCCTCTGCCATTGTAAACACCGTTAACGCAAATAGAGAGCAAAAGAGCAGACAATCACTTGTCAACAAGTCACGACAAATGAGTACCATACCTTGTAGATCGATTAAAAAGGGATCCAACAACAGTGCCCGGACTGTTGTATGCTCAAATGTCCCTGAATCTACCGCCATCACATTGCGGGATAAGTTATCAGACGACCAAGACCAATGGAACTCATTGTGTATGCAGATGAGTATCAAAGCCAATCCCATAAACTTGTTACGAATTACTCGTCATCCGAACTCGCCACACTATGGTGAACCCAGACTTATTCGAGTAACTCTAGGATCCTCCACCGACGTGGAAAATGTTTTGCTCTCTGCAAGCGCACTAAAACACGAATCCTGTGCGATACGTATCTATCCTGATGCCCCTTGGAGCGCGCGACAACCAAAAGAAACACCGAAGAGGGGTACAGCAAGCAAGACCGCCTAAACACAATCTTCATACATAGAGTGCCAGAACATCCTTCTAACGATGTTCAAGAGACCGGAAAGCACGATTTAGAACAGTGGCGGTTCATTCGTGAAACACTTTCTTTGGATAATGTTGTGGCACTATCGCTCACTAGGATACCTCTCTCATCGAATTATAGTGGATGTGGCCCTAGAATCCTAAAACTTGTGGTTCAGTCAGAGCAACAAGCAAAGGATGTTTTGGATCGATGGCGGAGAAATCGGAAACATCTTCCTTCCGAAATTCGGTTAAAGGTCGCAAACACTTTGCACAGCTCAACTATTAAAGCAACTGAAGCAGCAAGTATACTGACGAACGTACATAAGTGTAACTTGACTGCTGCTTTAATTGACTCTGAAGTAGGTCTAAACGAAGGCTGGGACGCACCTTGGCCGAATCAAGTTGCAAACGAGGTATCATTGACCCATCAGAAAAACGAGTAACTGCCGACCTCCCATCGGTTGGCATTCTCCCACACTTGACAGCTTCACCTCTCTGCGGGCTCCTAGAGACCGAGAAACTGGCCTGCTTGCATACAAATGCTCAGGGACTTTCTAACAAACTGGCTGAACTGAAAGATCGCCAAGCTTCCGGCTCGTATGATGTCATGGGTATCACCGAGACATGGTTGCACACGGGAATGACGGACGCTGAAGTGTCGCTACCCGGCATGTCGCTGATCCGGAACGACAGGCTCACAAAAGGA